GGATATCTGTCACTAAGGGTGAAAACTCACAAGATTCCACTCGCGGCGACGCGATAGAAAACTGTCATGTCTCCACTGCTCTATCTACACTCATAAAATAAATCACATAACCAGTGGAAAATATCCATGTGAATTTCACATAACTTTCATGTGATCCCATAATTGGAAATTGCACCACTAAATCACATGAACGTTATGTGTCCAATGAAATCTACGTGATTTCTCATATAGAATTTCTAATGCTATGTGATATTCAGGGAAAAATCATTGTTTTTGTTTTTGGAAAAATACTATGTGCGTTCCTAATAGAAACTAAGTGAAAACTTTTTTCAGTGTATGCTTCGGAATATGGAAAGCATAGAACAGAAGGGGAAGTGCAAACAAATCGATGAATCAAAAAGTGGGTTCTGATGCATAGTCATTATCGGTTTCATTCCTTAATTTTGTTGCTAAGGAATCCGATTTTGACTGACAAAGGGGCGCGTCTTTAGAGGGTCTTCCAACACTCCGAAGGGTATAAATAGCGGAACCTTTCAATTAGAGTCGTATCCTTGCGATAAATGCAAGAATGTGAACCACTAGCGTGCACAGGAATCTTGTTAAGGAGGGGCAATTTTATTTCTATGGTGCATTTAATCTGGGGATGGGGAGTACTCCAAAGTACGTGGTAGATGGTGCTGTCCTCTTCCCACTTTTTCCCTACTGTTCAATTTAGCTAATTTTATTTATGTTTTGCTCCGGTGGTGGTTCATCTTCTTTACATTACATTGTGCAACGCGGTAATCATGTCATTTTGAAAACGGTTACTTGTATACTGGAAATTTTTTGCACCTTCCGCCAAGAGTTTTTCAAGCACAGGATCGTAGTTAGCCACCAACTGGGTGGCACATTTTCCGCTCCTTCCAAATGTCCACGAAGTGGTCGGCTACCTTTGCAAAGTATGCGCACAATATCGATGAAATGTTCCATTATATAGCGATTTTGTAGCCGCTTTGCCTTACTAGCAGCAATCTGTTTTTTGGTGGTCCAGTTCTTCGACGATAGCCTTCCTGGTTTTAAAATTCTTCCACGCTTCCATACTACCAACATGGGTATCACTGCGATTGTGTTTGCCCAGCAACTCGGTCGATTTCTTATAATTTCTGAACCCTGTAGGAATCGTTGTAATAATGTTTTGCGGCATGCTCTTCTTTACAGGTTAAAAATACAAATCAAAGAAAATATATTCTTCAAGGGACTGGTATCATCTTTTATTCAGTTACCTTTCTAAAATTTTGTGCAGTACGTTTTTGTATATTTTGAAGACATCGTTACAATTTATGACTATTTCAAGTAAGCGTTTTTGTAAGCCCTTATATGCTGTTATAGTCACTTTTCTTTTATCGTTGCGAGTACGTTGAACTTGGTCATTTTCAGCGAAAATTGTAGTTTTAATTTTTTTCAAATTTTGACCTAAATGCCAAGGCTAATATGATTATTAAAAGGTTTAAAAAATATATAACGATTGGACCAAAGGCGCACAAAACTATTTCGATAAACGAGTACAGAATTGTTAACGGAATGACGACTTGTGCGAAGAATTGAGTATGTCAATCACGGTAACAAATGACTTGAAATTTTCAGAGAAGCTTCTTAGACAAATTCTTAGTAAGACAACAATCGACCGAGGTTCAATGGCAAACTAATACCTAATTTTCAATTAGGGAATCCAAAAGCTGTCTTTAAACTTTGTACAGTTGCGAAAAAGTCCATCCTCAGAATTCCTTAAGTTCTTTTAGAAATTTTTAGAACTCGATGAGCTCTTTTGAAATTCTTCACGGGCTTCTGAGAATTATTATTTTTAGAATTCTTCTTTACTTTTACTCAGAACACCTTGGAACTGAAATTCCCTTAGAGTTTCAGAAGAATTTCCTCCGTATTATCTAGAAATTATTCCCGGAATGAGCTAGAAATTATTGGTACTCCCTTGAAATTTTCCTCGAAATCCCTTTGGAATTTCACTCAAAATTTAATTTTCTCGGTAGTATTTTCGGAATTATCTTGGAACTATCGGCAGGATTCACTTCAAATTATTCGCAGACATTTCTTGGAATACTCCCCAGAAATCTTTTGGAACAGTCCTCAGAATTCAATATCTTTTAGGATCTTCTCGGATTTTTAGAGCTCTCCGAAGATTTACAATTGTTCATGATATTTTTCTCAAAACACCTTAGAACTGAAGTTCCTTTAGAGTTTCAGAAATAATTGCCGGAATGAGCTTGAAATTATCCTCGGAATTCGTTTGAAATTTTGCTTAAAATCCCTTTGGAAGTTCACTCAAAATTTGATTTTCTCGGTATTCTTTTCGAAATTATCTTGGAACTATCTGCAGGATGCATAATTTCTATCCGCAGAATTTCTTTGAAATCTTTCCAGGATATTTTGGAACTGTCCTAAGAATTCAATATCCTTGAGGTTCTTCTCGGAATATTCTAGAACTTTTTTTTTCTCAGAACACTTTGGAACTGAAATTCCCCTAATTTTTCAGAAGAATTTCCTCTGCATTCTCCAGAAATTCTTCCCAAAATAAACTTGAAATTATCCTCGAAATTTCCTTGAAATATTCCCCAACATCCCTTTGGAATTTCATTCAAAATTTGATTCTCTCGATATTATTTTCAAAATTATCTTGCAACTATCTGCAGGATTCACTAGAAATTATTCGCAGAATTTTCATAGAATCATCCCCAGAAATCTTTTCCTTTGGAACTGCTCTTCAGAATTCAATACCCTTGCGGTTCTTCTCGGAAGTCAAGTTTAAGTTTTCCGTCGATTCACCAAAACATTGTAGTTTTTCTACCAGAAATGTTCAATAAAGCTTGCCCCTCCATTCACCAGAACTGTGCAATTTTTACATCTAGAATTTTCAATTCAGCTAGCCCTTTCATGCAGCAGATTGAATCTTACACCAGAAATTTTCAATACAAACTTGCCTCGAGAAAATTTAACACCAGAAAATTGTACACCAGAAAAGTTTACACCAGGAAATTTCAATTGACCAGAACGATGCAAATGTTTCACCGTTAATGTTCAATAAAGATTGTTCTCCAATCTTCTGATTGGTGCAGATTTCCTTTTTCTATTTTCCACCAGACATTTTCAATATAGCGTGCTTCTTCTATCATCAGAATGTTGCAGGTTTTCCACCAAATAAAACTTGTCCCCATTTTCAGGTTTTTCAGCATAAATTTTCAGTAAAGTAGCTTCCCTCCAATCATAAGAATGGTGCAAATTTTACACCAGAAATTTTAATTAAAGTTTGTTCCTCTATTGAGCAAAAGGATGCAAATTTGAGGCCAAACATTTTCCGGAAAGCTTGCCCATCCGTTCACCAGAACGGTGCAGATTTTTCTCCAGAAGTTTTCAATATAGCTTAATTTAAATAAAGCTTGTGCCTTCATTTGCCAGACCAGTGCAAGTTTTCCACCAGAAATTTTCTGTTAATTTCATTTATCAGAGCGATACAAATTTTGCACCAGAAATTTTCAATAGAGCATTCTCCTCCATTCACCAGAATGGTGCACCAACAATTGTCAGTGAAGTTTGTTCTACCATGCACTTTTGTGGTGCAATTCTCAGGCACCAGAATGGTGCAAATTTTCCACCATAAATTTTCAATGAAGCTTGCATTCATCAGAACGATGCAAATTATGCACCAGAAAAATGAATAAACCTTGCTTCTAAATACATTCACCACAGTATTGCGAACGTTACACCAGAAATACAATGCATTTATAAATTTTTAGAGTAATTCAATTTTTCTACCAGGGTGATTCATTTTGATTAGTCCCTCCATGGATATTTTTACACCAGATATTAAATAAAAAGCTTTCTCTTCGATTTACCACCACGAAGGTGAATTTTTTCAACCTTAAATTTAACCTCTTCTTTTATCCCTCCATGAACCACCTTGGATAAAAAAAATTACGCCAGAATTTTTTTTGTATGCACCACTGTGCTGCAATTTTTTGACCAAACAATTCATTGAAGTTTGTCCCTTCATGCACCTTTGTGGTGCAATTTTCAGACACCATCTCATAGGAATTGGCGCAATAAAAGGTTTTCAGTGCCCTTATAGTATGAAATGAAGTTATTTTACCTTCAAATCAAGTTATCAAGAAAACAAGTTATTTTATATCGTAATTTGGAAATGTGGAAATAAACATCTTATTTATTAAAGGAGGGGCAATTGCCCCACCTTGCCCTACCCTGTGCACGCCAGTGATGTGAACCTAAAAGTAATGATTAGCCACAAACAATTTATTCCTCCTAAATACGGTTGCTGGATCACTGTGCAGTGGTTGAACATATTTTGAGTGTAGAATGGAACAACAATGCCCGAGTTCTTCTACCAATTTTGCGCGCCATTTCCGCTTGTGAATACAATTGCTACACCGATAACGGTCGTAACAACAATTCTTTCCTCGTGAAAAGCGCCAAAAATGCATGCAACTGGAATTCCCTGCACCGAGGAGGAGAGAGAGAAGGGCACAGCCGCTTCTGGATCAAGTGCAACAATTATTTTCCCGTGACTGCTTCTCGTGAATGCACGCCCCCACAGACAATAAAGTTTATGCAAAACTGGTGCAGTCGAGTTCTGCGGAGAAAGAATTATCGTCGTTTGGCACGGCTACCACCGGATGTCGGCTGGATTAGTCGAGAACCGGGGCAGGAAGAAATGCCATAATGCCGACATCCAAGATAAAACCGGCTCAAGGTTGGATTATCGGTTTGGGCCGACGAAGGAGGTGGGGAGGTGGAAGCGGAAATGGGAAATAATTGCAGATAATTGCATTTCCATCCACAGCGTGCACCTACTCTTTGGTGTTCCGTACCGTGTGCCGAGTTTTATGTTATAATTGGTTGGAAGTAATTGCCGCACTGCTTCGGGATCGTCATCCGTCGGTTGTTTACCGGATGTAAACATTCAATCAATTCGAGGCTGAAAGTCTGCCACTTACCTTGGCGAGTAGATCGATGAAATTGTCGCTCCAGTTGCGGGGGAAGAGCGGATGGGCGATGAGGACGTTCTTCACCTCGACCAGCGGCGTCGCCGAGTGGATCACGAATGGCCGCACCCCGGAACGCATCTCGTAGGCGACGATGCCCAGTGACCACCAGTCGACCGGGTAGCTGTAACCGGCTGAGGGAGAAAAAAAATTGAAAACAGGAAAACCGCTTGAATCGTACAAGATAGATAGTGGTTTGACGCAGGAAAATAATCGAAGGAGATGGAAAGGAAAATTAAGGTAAGTAAGTTGTAAGTTTTTGTTAAATTTTTCGATTTTAAATTTTCCATTACCATTAATTAATTGTAAAGTGGTCAATTCAAAACTGACCACATGAAAATTCCCCAAATGAAAATTAATAATTCAAATAACAATTTATAGACATTTCATGGCTTGCTATATTGTCGTTTCCTTGAATGGATATTCAACCATGGTTTAAAACATCACAAATGGAAACAAGCATATCAGGCATAACATTTGATAACGGCACAAAAGCATTTGTAAACAAACTTTCTAAGGCCCTTTACACGCAAACCAAAGTACGCTCACGTAAACCAATAACATCGTCGGTTAGGGGCAACTATCACCTTTTCGAGAGTGGTATTGGTTTGCGTGGGCGTACTTTGGTTCGCGTGTAAAGGGCCTTAGAATGTTTGTTTACAAATGCTTTTGTGCCGTTATCAAATGTTATGCCTGATATGTGTTATACATACCTTTTATTTCCAGTCACCTTGAATTTTTGCTAACCTTCATACTATTGACTTTGTCAACAGCTGTCATTCTTCCTTCCCCGCGCTTTTGTTAATTTTTCAGTAGAGAATTAAAGTACAGTTTTCATTCTTGTCACACGTGCAATTGTTATCCTTTGTAAATTGCTCCCGAAAACCTGCCAACCTTGCCACAAATCTACAACAATATGCCTTCCGACATTGTATGCGACTGTTATGTTAGTGCGGACAACAGCTAGCAGACAGAACATTGGCAATGCAGCGTCCATTATCCATGCAGCTAGACATTGATCAATGCTTTTTAAAGTTGCTACTACAAAATCCAAAACTACTTGAAAACAAATCCATTAGGCCAATTCAGCTAATGCACTCCTCCAGACCCAGAGTCGATGGATTGCTTTTCATTAAATTTACTTTTTCACAAGCAGAGAATGCAAATTCGCCCAAACTTTTTCTTTTCCGCCCGAATATGGTCGCTTCTGCCTTTTTTGCTGTTTCCCCACCAGCATCTGTTGGATGGTTCCGGTTCCGACAGAACTGCTTCATCTGCATTTTCACCTGTGAAAATAAACTACCGCCGCTTTCGGGATGAAAAATTGCAGTTTTTTTTTTATTGTGAGCTCCATTTATGTGTGTAACTAAATGTTTCAGCTTCCTGTAGACTGGGTAGCGGGAGTGTGGAAGTGATCGCTGCGAACCAAACTACTCACCCACCAACATCCAAACAAATGCAGACACCGTTCAAACTCGGTACGAGCTCCGGATATAGTTCTGGTGTCGGTTAACGGGGTTAACGTAGCGATTTTTTGTCGAAACAAACTCCACAAACCGGGGTCGCTTTTCAATATTGGAGGACGGAAGATTGGTGCTCAAGCTGACTCCAGGACTATGCGACACGGTGGGGATTACTAACGAGACTAGAATATATAAAGAGACGCTATCTGATCCCGGAAAAAACAAGTCATCTAGCAGCCATGGCAACACAGTCATTCGTTTGACGTTTGTTGTTATTCAAGGAAATAGTTGCTTTTTTCGACAGAGCTTGGTTTTAGAGATTATATTAATAGCTGAAATTCTTGATGTAGCAGATAGCAATACTTCTCCAATCATCTCAAATAATAGTAACTTTTTTTTTAAAGTTGGACAGCTCGACTGGAACGACAATTTCAATTTCAATCTGAACATGGCGTCTCTTTGCACACTCCAGTCTCTTTAGGCGTTACCAAACAAGATTAGTTAGCATAACAGCTTCGGACAACAATGATATCAACGGGTAGAGCACTGGATGAAAAATGGATTTTTTGTTGAAATGGATGCCAGAGGGAGAAAGAGAAAATGCTTCGGACTGAACCTGATAGCCCATTTGCGTAGTGCAGCACGGTTGGTTCTCAGGGTTGCTTTCCATGTTAATCGTACGATGTTGGCTTTCTGTTTATGTAATTCTATTGTGATTAATTACCGTTTATAATTTGAATGGTTTAAATTACTGCATGTTTGGCATTGCGATATCCGTTCTAGGAGTGACACGATTACCCAACAATTTCCGGAAGAGCAAAGTGTAAAGTGGAAAGTGGCCGACTGTGGAGAGTTGATGCTGACGCTGAAAGATAACCATCTGTCGCTGGTGCAGAAAAGTGATCATTGTCGTTAGAAGACGACTCGGTCAGTTTGTGGTTCCCTTTTATTGAAAAAACTGTGCGACTGTAATTAGGAAACGGCACCAGCAACCTTTTAGCAACCTCTCACGCAATAGTCTCGAGTTCAAATATCATCCCAGACAAGTCACGATGCTGCGATGGTAAATTTATGATACATTTTTTATCGTAATAACAAACAGACATAACTCTTAGAAGAAAATTCTTTGCATGCACACTACACGAAATATTCTTGCTAAAACATCAGACTTATACATTCCATAAGAAAAACCACAAATCAGGGAAAACATGTCAGAAGAGTCTAACTCGAAACGTAAACAATGACTTTGAACGTCGATTTCTCTTAAATGACCACACACCCACGGAATCTGACTACACCAGCTCATAGAACAAACATTGCTCTGTCAGATGATTTATTTAGTTTGAGTTGGATCGTCGGTTTTTTACGAATGACAACACACCCATGTCATTCGTAAAAAACCGACGATCCAAGTCAATGTTTACGTTTGGAGTTAGACCCTTCTGACATGGTTCCCCTGAAATGATCTTCATTAAATTTTTGCAAGGCGTTTTCTTATTAGTTGACTTATACATTTTATATATCAACTATAGAAATTCCGTGGTGTAGTGGTAAGCGTGATTACCTCTCACCCCAGCAGGCCTGGGTTCAATCCCAGTCGGCGCCGCCGGGATGTTCTGAGGCATAACATCTCTGATCACGCCTTCCTTCGGATGGGAAGTAAAGCCGTTGGTCCCCGGTTCATGATGGGTCGATAGGTAGGGTCCAGGTGTGGGAGCTGCCTTCCTGGCACGTCGGTAGCATTGGTGCTCAGCACGGAAAACAAGATCGACGGAAAACAAAATCGACGGAAAAAACAAACCAAAGAAAAAAAAAAAGACTATTGAAATTTGTCAAAAGTTATGAGGGCATTTCTATCCGTTTAGATCACGTTATGTTTAAAGGCGACTATTATAATAAGTGAATACCCAAAGCAAAACATTATGAATCTTAATTGTGATTGCGCACCTCTACTGTAGTTTGGGTTTGACCATCGCGTACATCATCGCAACCGCCCAATACGCACCGGCCTTGACAGTTCGTCGTATCACAGTAGTAGCAACAATCAATACGAAACTAACAATTTTAAATTGGCTCACTACTTGACTAGCCTATTGGTCCCAAGCAAATCGATTAACGTACCCCATTATAGTCGAAATTCTAGTACTACACTATGTTTGTATTGATTCGCTATGCAAGTTTGACAGATAAAATGAGGGGTTATTGGATTTTCCTATGTTTCGAGGGGTGAATCGTCTAGCTTGGGACCAAAGATAGTACCAGAGCTGAGCCAAAAAGTTGAGCACGTTTCTTCGGGACCTACTAGTCTTAGAGTTACCTCTATGGTAGTAGCACCGGTTGGAAACTAACGATTTAAAATTGGCTCACTACTTGACTAGCCTATTGGTCCCAAGCAAATCGATTAACGTACCCCATTATAGTCGAAATTCTAGTACTACACTATGTTTGTATTGATTCGCTATGCAAGTTTGACAGATAAAATGAGGGGTTCGTGGATTTTCCTATGTTTCGAGGGGTGCCTCGATTAGCTTGGGACCAAAGAGAGTACCAGAGCTGAGCAAAAAAGTTGAGAACGTTTCTTCGAGACCTTCTGGTCTTAGAGTTACCTCTATGGTAGTAGTGAGTGAGAATAACCACATAAAGAAAAGATACCCATAGAAAGTGAAAGTTCCATGCAGTAAAATCTGCTGATTAATGTTATATTTAAACTTATTATATTCAACGCCAAGTGAAATCCTATTTGTGGCAGTCTTATGTAGGTATAAGGTAGGATTTTAAATTAGTACATTGAACTATAATTGGATCATTTTCATAGTGAATCTCAAAAGATGTTTTTCTACATAATTATAACCTGAAAATGTGTAGCTCATCTTTGTAATACTCACTCGTAGTCCTCCGCCAAGGTGATGCCGATTGGGATCATACCGGCGATAACGCATACTGCCTCCATCGAAATGGTTCTGTATGCACTCACGACTCGCATGGCCATGAGCCGGAACGTACTACTCAATTTCCTTTGGTTTTGCTTCGTTTTCAGTGCTTCAATCCAGGCTGGACCTCCGTACCTTAGTATTGACGAGGACACACTAGCCAGAAGACGCCTCTTGCTGCTGCTTGGACCAGAATTGTTCGGCATGATTCTGGCTATTGCGTTGATGACCTTCGCCGCCTTCTCGCAAGCATATTCGATGTGGCTATTAAAGTTTAGCCGGTCGTCGATCATCACTCCCAGATACTTTAGCACGCGCTTCGAAACAATGGTGTGCTCTCCAACGGTGATTGCTGCCCCTTGCACTGCTTTGCAGTTACTGACCAACATTACTTCTTTTTTAGCAGTCACGTTTTGTTTGTAGTTTATGTTTTATTTATTTCATGTAATTATCGTAAATAATAGTTATTCAAAGCGCTGTGGATTATAAGATGCTCGATGACCCTCGAGGGATCGATTTTGCTTACTGAGCAGAAAATCATGGATTTAACCCCAAGCTCTTCCAGAGCACAATAAATCGCCACCATCATTTGTATATTTGATATTGAACATTAACCTCGGAAACTATTTGCATATCACGCGAAAACGTAGTCCTGTATTGTCGCGAAGCGTTATGGTTCTGAGATGCTCGATGACCCTGGAGGGATCGTTTTTGCTTACTGAGCAGAAAATCATGGGTTTA